AGTTGGGATTGTTTGAGAGAAAGGAAGGATGAACAAGTAGCAAACATCAAAGAAAACCACCACAGTGTCAGGGTACAAAGTTACCCAGTAGAGTCCTTGTGAAAAGGCTCAAATGTACATTAAACACAAACACTACAAGAGCCATTCTTTTTCTTCCAGCCTTTTAATGTGACAGAGAGAACAAAAACAAAGTCCATTGGAACAGCTGCAATTTCCAGTGACGACCAGACACAGATCAAATAAAAAAAAATAAAAGAAGTTTTTAAATGAAGAAAAGGAACCAAGGGACTGGAATTGGCTATTTCACACATAGAGCTGACTGAACATCTAAATGAAACTTTCCATTAAAGCACGACACCAGGTGTTATTTACAGTGGGACTTGCAGTGTGTGTACATTTATACAGCACTAGCATCACATACAGCAAAGAAATTAATTTCATTTTGTTTCCTTCAGTTCCCAGGCTTGATTCTTCCTAAAAGCAGCATTTGCTAATATAAGGGTGAGAAACTGAGGGAGAAACTTAATGCAAAATAAAATGCATAGGGCTCAAATCTACATAAACTTCAAAATATCCTCTCAGGTTTTGTGACTCCTTTGGAAAGTCAAAGGACACAAGCAGGGAATATAAAAGGACCTAGGGCCTCCTTAAGAGCATCAGAGTATACTCTGCTGTTGGAGGTCTCAAAGCAGGACCTGGAAGGGACCTGGACATCTGCAGAAAGCTCAGCTCCATGCAGTCCTGCTCTGTGCCCTTGTGTGAATGCAGCCTTGGGGCTGGACCACTCTCAGCATCACTGAAGGACATCAGGATGCCTGAGAACTTCCCAGTGTGCAGAACCTCTGGCACTGGATATGGGTTTTCCAAGACTGATGCTCTTCATAGTCCAAAAGATCCATATGCCACCATCTGTAAGTCCCATAGCATTTCAAGGAATTTCAAATAGTAATGTTGATATGGGCAAGGAGGGGATCACCCCATACAGCACAAGCTGCAGCCACCACCACTAGGATGTAGCAGAGCCAAAATCAGTAACAGGAGCTGTCCTGCACAACTGGAGTAAATAAATCACAATAGCACAACCCGTTAAATCAACAGGGAATACAAAGAGGCAGAACTCTTATTGTAATAGCACTGGTCTTTAATAATAGTATCAACAGTGCCTGGTGTTCCTATAAAAGCCTGTGTCTGCATGCTCAGAAATTCAGCAATGGACTTGTCCCACCACAGTGCAGCAGAGCTGAAGATACCAAGCCACAGCAGGCCAGTTTGGGTTCCTTAGGTTCACCTTTCCCATGCCACAATTATCATCAGCTAAGTGGCTGTCCTGGTGTGCCACACATGCACGAGGAGATCCAGCTGTCCTCTAGAAGAGATCTTTGGGATTTAAGGCAAGTCCCCTGCCCTGGTCCTCTGTGTCCCTGTTGCAGAGAAGTTCATGAATCCATGGAAATAGTGCTGTGCACGGACCATCAGGGGACCCGTGATCAGCAGATTTCTCTGGAAGGTGCAGTGTATCCAAGAGAGAGACTGTTCACTGTGGCAGACGTGGGCAGCTGAGGGAGGAGACGTGCTGGCCCTCGAACAGCACAGGCAATGCTGATTTTACAGCAGAAATTAAGCTGAGCCATCAGAGGAGGTGCCTGAGGAGAAATCTTCCCCTGCTTGAGGCTCAAGGGTCTGTGACCAAGGCTAAGCCTAGCAGGTGGCCAAGGCTTGAAACTGAGCCCAGAACAAACCCCAGCCAATGCAGAGGGGTCTGCACCCAGCAGCTGCTTTGCTCTGGAGAGCAGCAGTGTGACACCTACACTGATTTACACCACGGCAAGGACTGCAAACAAACACATTGGGAATATTGACTAAGCCTGTCTCCACTGAACTGGGTGGGAGATGTCAGCCCAGGTGTCACAAATTCAGTGCCTGAGCTGGAGCTGTTGCCCTGTATCTCTCTGTCCCTGAAGAAGGACAGACCTGCAGGACTACCCAGGGCAAGTGATGCATTGCCTCTGCCTTTCAGCTGAGAACAGTGGGAATCCATTCAGTCCAGCCCTAGGTGTCTCAGCCAGGAGATGGGAGCTCTCTTTAGCTTTTCCTTTCTTCTGCTCTGCTCATTGTTGTCCTTTATCTCAGGCTCTCACATGCCAGCTGTGGTGTGTGTTTGCTCTCTCCTGTCAGGTCACAAACTCCCTGGTCAAGCCAGGGGTAGGAGCCTTGTCCCAACATGTGCAATATCCCTTAGCCCTCAAGTGACCGACCCATGGATTTTAGGGGTGCAAAGAATTTCCAGGTGACATTGACAGTGAGATCCTATTACTCTTTACCTTGTCCCAGCTGGTCTGTGAGGTGAGATTTAGCAGCCCTTGAAAGAGCCATTCTGCAAGGAAGAAAGGTTTCTAAGACAGGATAATATTTCCTAATATTACCTTGCCATTTCTATCTCCTCAAGATTTCAGTTTCTTCCTTCTCTGAAAATTAACAGGGAAGTTTTGCAAAATAAATGATGTCATTAATGTCACTGCAAAATGCCAGTGGAGAACACAAATAGTCAGGTTTGCTGTGAGCATTGGGTGACATGTAAATAGGAATGTTATGCAAAATAAATATTTAGAAAAATAGGTTCTGGCTCCTCAGAGCAGCACAAGCGAATAATCCAGAAAATGAAACAAAAAATTGCCCCCCTGCCAGGTTGCAACGTGGTAATTGGCAAGCACAGCCCAACAAAATGGGTGAAACCTAAAGGTCGTGGTGATCTTTTGTGTTAAAATACATATTTAAACTGTCTCTCATCATGCAGAAGGACCAGATATTCTTAAAGAAAAAACCCACATTCTGGGCTGTGATTCGGAATAGAACCTGTGAACTGCTGCCAAAGGACATAATTACATTTACTCCTACCTTAGAGAGGGAACCTTGTTGTTTTGAAGACAAATAAATAAAATAAATAATAATAAAAAAGCCCTAAGCTACCCACAAAATGAAGAAATGAGGCATAATAAGGTTGGTTATTACAGCAGCATGTGATTTTACAGATTTCATAAACTTCAGAAAAAAGGTCAAAAATCTCAAACAGCCCATTGTAGCCTATAGGTGATCCATGAGTGCTTATCCCTGATAGACACAATGAAAAAGGTGATGCTCATTAGAGGCTTTTGCCTCATTGGCAAGGATTTTCTGCTTGTGATCTAACCCTGCTGTATGTCCTTCAGCTGCCCCTGCAGCAGCAGCACGCTGACTCCCACAGCTGCAGCCTGGGCTGGCCCTGGTGCCAGGGACTGTGCAGCCAAAGGCAGGGCTGTGAGACATCACTACTGCAGGATTTCAGCCTGGCCTTGACTGGTTTTCTTAAAAAAAACAACAAAATTCACCAAAAAAAAAAATTTTAAAAAAAAAGCAATAATGAAGAAGATCCAACAAAAGTTAAATGAGAAGATCACCAGCGGAAGTACAAAAGAACTTTTTATGTCACAAAATATCCTGGTTCGACAAATTAGCTGCACTATGAGGTGGTTTCAGATCGATTCTGGTCTATTGCTGAGCTTGTTGAAACAAAATAATTAGTGTTATCCATTGTGAGCACTGCTATTGAACAAGATGCTTTGCATTTCTGGTTTCCCAAGAAAACATAGCCCAAAATACACAACTCACTTTGCCTCTAGGTGCAACAGGACTTAACTTGTGTGATAAAAAGGGCACACAAATTTCAGAAATGTTCTCCACAGGATATCAAACTAAACTGTGCCACTTAATGGGAAATTTAATGTTCTGTACAGTGAAAATTTGCTGTGTGCATTCCCTGTGTAACAAGTTAAATGGCTTTAAGTAACTGTGCTTACAGTGTTTCAATGAGACCCAAGTATATTAGAAAATCAAGCATCATATTCTTCAAATAATATGGCTAAAATGCTGGTAAATTGTCAGTTACCATACTCTAGGTATTAGGCAAAAATCCCCTATTTACACTGGATAATATGTACACATTTGGTTTGTGGAATGCTCCAATATCATATCAATTTCTCCTCTGTGAAAGTTGCAGGGAAAAAACCCCTTTTAATCATTAAAGAAATATATATTCCCAGACACTAATACATTTAAGTATTTGGTATCTGGCTGTAAAGAATGAACCGTCACTAAGTTGGTCGTGACTCCTGATAATCTTGAATTACTGGGATTTGTTTTTAGTGTGACTCTTAAAATCATCTTAAGGGTACAGAAATAAAAAATCCTAAATTTTAATAGCTGATCACTTCAATGGGTGTACATATGTTTGCAAGTAGATGTAAATACATATATATATATATATATAATTATTTAGATATTTCTCTTCCACAGCAAGAAGGTGCCTAGTGATTCCCTGTGCCCAAATAAAGACAGTAAAGGGCTTTGAAGCTCTGAATCTTCTGAGACAGCTGAGCACCCACCCTCACATACTGGAGAAATCAGGACACTCACTCTTCCAGGTGAGTGGTAATCCCAAAACCAAGACAGCTGGGGTCCCCCTGGCCACATCTGCAACTCTTACCCCTATTGCTGGAGCTCACCTACAGCAGGCTGGTTACCTGCCTCCCCCGGGATGCTCTGTGCCTCTGAGCACAGCTGGCGTGGATGGCTGAGCAGGGCTGGCAGGCAGGGCAGTGTCTCAGCGGGCAGAGGCAGGAGGGGGAGGGTCTGTCCTGCCGTGTCACACCCGCACACCGAGCCACTGTCTGCATCTGGTGTCCTTGCAGGGGCGTGGACAGGGACAGGGGGGGCTCCCAGCATAGGCAGGGTGGCACCCAAGCTCTGCAAGGGGCGTGTGGGGGCTGCATGCACCAGTGGTGGCTGTAATAAGGTCAGAAACTATGGTTTTGTTTATATCCCTGCGGGTTCTTCCTTCCCTCTGCTGTCTCGCTTTGAGGTATTGACAGAACAGTTAGAATGAGCGTTTTGGGTTTTCCAGACATGGCTCTTTTTCATTCTTCTTCTACATCTGCCCCCCCTCCAAGCCCCCTGGCCTCTGTTGCTCACATCAGGACCTGTTCTCGAGTCTCTGGCAGGCGCAAAGCGAGCAGGCCACCCCCAACCAGAGCGGAGGAGGCCAGAAGGATGGGAACCACCTTGGTTATCCCTACGAAGGAGGAGAAGATAGAGTTCCCCAGGATGGCACCAAACTTGCAAAGACCATTGAGGATGCCAAAGGCTGTTGCCCTGTGGGGAGGAAAAGCAGAAAGCAATGGTTAGGAGGGAGTTTCTGGCACAATCAGAGAAGGTTTGGACTGGTAATTTTGTGAATTTTCTTATGTTGCCCAGGCTACTCTTCTAGTAAGTAAAACTGGGCAGAACAAATAAGTAGATAAATAGATGCAACTGTTTTGCATGTCTGTGTAAATGAGAATGTCTGTGTGCACTCATTTCTCCTTTTCATCTCACCTTCTCCATAGCCCTACAGTGGCCCACTCTGTCAGCCTTTGCCCTCCCCAAAGACAGCAGGACAAAATCTTTCTTAGATCTCCTCAAAGCCCTTCCAAGGGCTGCCTGGAGTAGGTTGTCCCCAGAGAAACAACCACAGCTCTCCTCTAAATCCTGTTTCACCCAGCAGCTAAAAGCACACTATTTTCAATGTATAGTCCTCCTTCATTTCTGGCTTGCCCCTAACAGTCTGAAAAAGGCAAAAAGGGGCTTATAATGATGTTGTAAGGAAAGATTTAATCTGCAGGATGTGGTCCCAAAGTCTCCTGTTCTTCCTGGTGTCTCAAATCACTCTATGCACATGGTTTTCTCCAGGTTTGGAGGGGAAGGCTTGCCCCAGTGATGAGCCATGCCGAGAGGCTTGGGGATGCAGTGTGAAAGGCCAGATCTCCATGCACATCCATGGAAATGACAGAGTACATCTTTCATTTGGTGCCCCTGCCCATGGCATGGGCTTTAGAACTAGCTGATCTTTGAGGTCCCTTCCAACCCAGACCATTCTGTGATACCATGATTCTATGGTTCTTTGATTTATCAGCCCATAATCTCCATATGTCCACGTGATCCCTGAGTTAAACCTGCCACACAAGCAGAATTATGCTCGAAAATGTCTGTTGTGACCCAGGATTAAACAGCCCTGAAGGACTGGTGAAAGTAAAATAAATAAAAATATACAGCTCCCCCACCTACATGTCTCTAGAGCGGCTTTTTTCATTGGGAACCAAGAGAACTAGGTAGAGGGTGGAGGCTAAAGGGAGAAATGTTCTGAGCACCTTTTGTCTGTGGGGTAGAGCTCCACGGTGATGACATCCAGGGCGTTCCAGGCGGCGATGCTGGCCCCACAGAAGAGGCACTGCCAGCCGATCATCGCCGACTCGCTGTTCCCGAAGAACAGGAAGAAGCAGCACACGGCTGAGATCAGCATCGAGCCACCTGAGGGGGCAAACCAACAGGAGAACACTGGCACCAGCTTCCCCTGTCCACAGCTGAGCAAACATTTGTTAAAGATGGCTTTCAAGTGATGGCATTTCATCCCAATAAGAATTAAATCTGTGAGAATCCAAAAACACCTTGATGCTGCCTATCTGTCATTCTCTGATGCTGAAAACCAGCCTGGAAATGTTCTCAGTGTCCACCTGATCTTGCTGATAATCCTGCTCTATAAAGACTGTGAAGATGGGCTTTTCCAGGCAGGCTTCCAGCATCTCAGACTTCCAGATGGACCCAGGAAGAGCAGAGACAAGTAAACATGAAAGTCAATGAGGAGGAAGCATCATTGTGAAGGTTTTTCAACTTGAGTTTCAAGTGATAAGCTTGTGCATTTCATATCATATTGAAGTCACTTGACACATTTCTAGTCCCAATTAGGATAATTTACAGTCACTTGTATGAAGCACTTGAGGTCTCTTTTAATTATAAGAACATCATTAGATTTCATGGCACATTTGCACAGGAGCCATAATTTTATGAACATCACCGAGGGAGAAAGTGAGAGCATTCATGCTCAGTTAGGCACAGTTCAGATTCAGAAATATTAATAGCTACATCACTGCTTTCTACCCCATTGGGAATTTTCACCTGAAAGATGAAATTTGTGAAAAATCAAACTATTTTTCACCAGAATGTTCTGTTATCACTGTAATATCTCCATTTATTAGCAGAAAAGCAAACAATTTTCTCTGTTGTTTGGTGTTTTTGGTGTCAATTTAACATCATGCAAAATAATTTGGATGCTGAAGTGTAACTGAAATGCTTCAATTTGGACATTATGTTGCATCTTGCCACTGAAAATGCCAATTTTCACTATGAAAAGCTGCTGTTCAGGTCTCCATGTCCCCTGCTCCTCTATGGCACAAGGCCAAACTACATCCCCACAGTGTGGTGTGGATATTCCCCCTGCTGCAAAAGCCCAGCCCAGCACTGGTCACCATGAGAGCACCAAGAGATCTGCTGTTTAGTACAAGAGAAGGTTTGGCAGAACATGATAAAAATGAACTGAAGCCCCAGGAAGGCACATAACACAAAAGGAGAAATTCAGTTTTCCTGTTAAGCTGACCAGAAATAAAATGTTCGACAGCGTGATACAGGTGGGACGCCAGAAGGCTTTTTCAATTGGAAATTTCATAGTGAAACATTTCAGCATGTCGTTACTAATTTTTTTCTTGTTCTCTTCATTTTGCAGGAGAAATAAGCATTTAGGGCTCCAGCTGCCATCTCAATTCCAGATGAAAATGCTGAAATGCTGACATGTCTGCAGGATGGACAATCTGATTCTCATTCAGCTTCCTCTAATTTATTTCCCACAGACCTTCTGGTTTGTTTGGGTCTTTTCCAAATCCACCACATGAATGCTCATTTTCCCTGTGTACCTTCCTGAGACATCAGTCATCTTGCTCTACTTTAACCTGTCTGAAGGTGAGGCTGAGCTAACCCTTCCTTCTGTTCTCAGAGGACAGAGAGGAGCTCAAGAGAGTGATTCACCCCTTACCCCCGAGCCACATCCCTGATTTTATTACCTTCCTTTGGCTGTCCCTCAGGGCATGATTCCCACAGTACCTGGAGAGCAAGGTCTGAACCCTGGAGGCTGCAACACTGGCAATTCCCAAAGTATTTATGAAGCTGATAAGGTGATAACTTGATAATTTATTCCCATGATGCTAAAGGGTGTCTCCTTTCTTGGCTGTGACATGGTCAGTTAATTTACCATATGGTCTCTGAAGCTCCTTGTGCAATCATTTGAAAATCAGATAAAAACCAAAAGAGGGAACTCCTCGGCTGTCAAGCTGCCACATCAAATAACCTTTGTGAATATTCATTGCTACAAGCAAAATGTTCATTTATTTATACAGAAGCTTTGGATTTCAGCAGCAGCTCAACAGGACCAAGAGATCCTTTTTTAGCTCTGACCCTGATTTGCAGAACACTGAAAAAAACGTGCAGGATTTGACACAAAAGGCAAAATAAATTAAAAAAAGGAAATGCTACAGACACACAGAAAAGCAGGGTGAAGAGGAGGGGAGTAGGTTACTTGTTCACTGCCATGGAGTAGATCACCTGCCTCACCCTCCAGTGTTAATCCTTCTGCTCCTTTTGTTTTGAGGATGGCTCATTCCCTCCAGAGCCATGCCAGTGTGCAGACACAGCCAGCCCTTCACATCGAGCAGGGCTCTTTGCAGGGCTGTGCTCCCACCACCTCCTGCCCCATCACTCACCAATCATCTTGATCCTCCCAATTTTGTCCATGAGCAATGCGGAGATGATGTTGCCTGGCAGCACGGACAGGCTGCCCAGGAAGCTGACCAGGTAGATCAGAAAATCATTGTCCTCCTCAAAGTCGATGTGGCAGCCTTCCTTCTCCTTCATGAACGTGCTGTTGATGAGCCTGCAGTTGATGAATTTGTGTTCGTAGAGATCTGTGAGGGAAAGAGGCAAGGGCTTGACCCTGCTTGGCTGAACTCCTTCATAGCACAGCAAGGACCAGACCAAAGACCCGAGAGAAGTTTGTCATCCAGTGGAAATATCCAGGGAGTATTTGTTTCAGTGGAAAATTTTTAGAGCGGCAAACTCTAGCTGAATCTTTGGCTCCTGGCTGATGCAAGCTCATGCATTCCTTTTATTTGTGGAGTCACCTGAACCAGTATTCCCATGCCACAAGGACAGGGCAATGCAGGCTTTGGTTTTCAAAGCATTATCATTTGTTCTTTATTAGAGTAGAAATAAAGAGCTTTTTTTGGTATAAATTACAGACTGTTTTACAGCTGATGATCTTCAACTGCTGGAGGCTTGAGATTATATTTTAAGTTTTACTGAGTAGAGCTGTAAAGTGCTGAGAATTGTGCCATTACTTTAACCTGTCAGGGCCTGAGCATAGAATTTTGCATTTCCCATAAATCACCCAGAGACACCAGATGTCATGGGGTTAAAATTACTGATGGAGCAACCTGAGGTCTCCTTCCAAATGCATCACACTCTTTTCCTCCAGCACCACTTTCATTACCCAGCACACACTCAAACACACAGATCCCTACCATCCTTTCTTCCACAAAACAGATAAAACAGTTCTAATAAAATAGTTTTCTGATAAAGTAGTTCCTAGTTACAGAAATGACACTGCAGCAGGAATCCCATTACCGGTGTTATAAAAGACAGTAGAGATGATGGTGCAGTTTTCAAAGAAGGTCTCACTGGATCTCACATCTTCAAAGTAGCAATCCTCAAATAATGAATCCTCAAATCTCACTTCCTTGAATTTCATGCCAATAAATCTGTGGGGCAGGAAACAGAACTTCACTCAGTGCTTTAAGATATTTTCTACACTGTAGAGTGTGCAGTGGCTGTTTCAAGAGATGGGGCACTCATTCCAGTTTCTAGTGTCATTTACAGAAAGGGTGTTGCTTGAATGCATAGCTCCCTCCAGGTCCTTCTGTGTTTTATTAGGAGATAAGGGTCTGAAGAGGTATTTTTTTTAAAGAGACATGGATCTTTTAGGATTTGGCCATTTTTCTATTCCTCAGAATAATCACATCTGAGAAAATGTGCTTCTAAAGCTGAGGGGACAGAAATCCTCTCATGTTCAGTCCTAGTCTGTCTGAAGAAGACAGAATTTCTCTCAATGCAGGGAATTTCCTTCATGAGCTGACCTTGCTGCCTTCCTTAGTTTCCCCCTCCCTCCATCAGAAACAAAACCAGCCATTATCAGGAGCCTATTGAGCCATTTGGTGAAAGGTTTCTGACAGCTGTTTAAACTCAAAGTGATTTTTTAAGTGAAAATGCAGTAGGGATTCTGGAGAGAGTGGGGAGATTATCCGAGTTCTGCTTGTAACCATCTCTGTTCGAGGTTTATTACGTATCATGTAATGAAAAGAGATTTCACTAAAAATAATAAACTGTGTCAGGTGATTGATTTCTCCTCTGATGGGAAGCGTGACATGTCTGACCTGGCTGCCTGAAAGATGACACAATATTGATTTACCTGTGAGATTTTGCAGGAACACTGAGAAGATGTACTAGGTAATGCACAGACATGTTTAGAAGATGTAAGGAGCTATTAAGAACAAGCATTACTGCTCTAGCTAAAGAGGCCATGACTGTCACCAGATGAAAAAAACCCTTCTAACACGTACTCTGCAGCTTAATTGAATTGAGCACTTTTAACACAGCGTAACGTGATGGTTGTTTACACCTTTAAATGAGCGCTGCAGGGCTTCTTGACTGAGCCTACTAACAGAAATTATTAATGCACAAAATACCACAAGAAGATTATTCAAGTGTTTTGCTCCATGTAGACGGTCTCACATGTTACAGCAAAGTTTAAGCTGTTCTGCATTTGCTCAGTGATGTATTTGTCTGTGATGTTTTTACTCCCAAAGGCTGTTAAAACCCATTTTCCCCCTGCAGTTTGCTTTCATAACACCCAAGTTTAGAAGAGTCAGATAGCAATGGCCTGGTGATCCATGGAGTTTTAGCTCACAGCCAAGGGCTGCAGGGAAAACACAGCTGTAAGCCATGCTGAGATAACTTCTGGGCATTATTGCAATTTAGCTCCATGAGATTTTGTGTATTTAAAATGGAGAGGGCCAAGGTGGGAGAATAGTGATTTACAGCACAGTTTTATGTCTTCATCCAGGTGCTGAGTATCCTCAATTCTCAGTGAAGTTAATGCAAGTTCAGTACCTCCTCTAGGCATAAGAAAAATGTCTCCAGTCCTTAAATTTGACCAACATCCACTTCTCACTACTTTGTTTTGGGAAACAAGAACTGTGGGGCCAGGTTTGCATCACCAAGCTCAGCTCCTTGTTGCAGGGACGGTGTGTGGAAGGACATGAGGACACATGTTGGGGTCCCCCACCGATTTATATAAAATATGTAAAAGGAAATGGAGATGAATAGTTTCTGAGGGGATTGGAACAACCTGGCTGGGTAATGAGATGTGGTTTCAGCTGTGAAGATTAAAACAATGAGTGTTTTGTGTAACATTTAACATCCAATAGGTCCACCCCACTTGAGGAGAAGCTCCCTCCAGCAAGGCAGCTGGAGCAGCATCCTGCTAGGTCTGCCTGGGGCAATGAGATCACAGAAATTGCATAGGAATATTTTTTTTATTTTTATTGGGATTTTGAAAAGTAGTAATGGAATGACTAAGATTTACATTTCTGTGCAGCATAGATTGATGGGCCCAGGCTGGACACAGAAGGAGAAACAACAAGTCTGGCCCAAACAGGGTTAAAAAAGGGAGGAAAGCAATGATGTTCTTCTGGAGCAAATTCACAGACTTCAAAACACTAAAGGAGAAGGTGACACACTCATCTGTGGGGAGATAGTGACTGCAGTGGGAGAAGCACCCCAGTGTGGCCATGGCCCAGGCTGCAGGATGGATACTGGGGTAGTTCATCTTCAAGAAGTTGCTTTTTATTTTGGAAATACAGCAGCGATTTCATTACCAGTAGCTGCCCAAGCCCTGTAGATGTCAGTGTGGGCTAAGGAAAAAGAAGTCACCTCTGCATCCAGGGCTGCTCAGCACAGCACTCTGCCCTGATCCCAACACAGGCCTGCTGTGATCCCCTGGGTTCTGCAGAAGTCAGTGACAGAGGCAAAGTAGGTGGAAAAACAGGATTAAAATTATATTTTGTCAGTCAAAAGCTGCCTCTGGGACTTGAGAGATTTAATTTGAGTGTCCAAAAGAACAACAGAGAGGTTCAAGTTGATGAAAAATGGAAAAGAATAAAAGAATTTTCTAGAAATTTATTTCACTGTGATTACAGCAAAGCAAATTCTGTTCACTTACTTGTCATTCCTGTATTCCCCATTTCTGTGGATCTGGTTTTCCAGGGTGAAATTAAAGGTGAAATGGGACACTTCTTCCTCATCAAATATCTTCACTCGGGATTCATATGCCTCATCTTGGAAATACCGGATCATGTCAGGGAACCAGACAATAAGGCCATAGTAACTGCAGCAGGATTGGGAGACACATCAGGGATACAAGATTCTTTAAAAGATCTACTTCACATCTTGCAAACTTGTTAAACTCCAAATGTGAATGCAAGTCTGACACAAATTCTTGCTCAGTGCTGACACAGGACTGAGCAAAGTGTTTCTGTGCTCTAAGCACCCTGCTGATCTCAGAAGCGTGTTGGTCCACTCCCTTTCATTTGAAGCAGGACAATTCATTTTATTTCCCCTTGGCTGGGGAATAAAACAATGTGCTAACCTTGCTACCCATTAAATTAGCAGAGCAGAAACAAATTGGGCTGATTTCTGTAAGTGTGCAGTTCATGTGAGAATTAGACAAAATTTCCCTGTAGTTTAGACTCCCCTGAGTGGCTTTGATCTAGACTAAGGAACAGCTGAGAATCTGGTAAAGTTGTGTCTTTTGTGTGTGTGTGTGGACAAGATCAAATAAAAGATCTACAGGTGAGAAAGTAAATTTATTACTGTGCTACCAACCACTTCTCAAGTCCTGTTTTGTTCAAAGCATCTTGTACTTCATATAAAGCAATCAGATTGATCAATATATGTAGAAGAGCAAGGCTTAGTTCACAAAGACTCTTTAAAGTAAGACCAGGATTAATTTTGTAATAGTTTATTTACATGTGTAAATAATTATTTAGACTCTGAATAGTGGTTTAGTTTCCTGAAAAATATAAAGAAGTACCTTCCTTACCTTAAGGCCATTGTAAACCAAACCACAGCCAGCATCAGTGTGTTCATCCTGTACTGGGCTGTTAAACAATATAGCACGTTGTCCCAGACCTACAAATCCACAGGAAGGAATTAGATGTCAGGACACCTCAGCAGATGCTTGACAGCTTAATTTATGAGTGCATCATAAACCTAATGTCAGAAAAATGGGTTCATCAGGGGAAGATCAGATGTGTGGCATATATTCAGTGTTTTTCCAAAATTGTATTTGTCAAGCAAATGGCTTACAAAAAAATCACTTAATTCAGCTCAGTGCCAGAGTACTTGATCAGAGCCCTCTGTAATGAGCTGGAGTGCATGATTAGGGCTGGGTATGAGGCAATGTCTCTCTCAGGTTATATCAGCAAATGTGGATATGAGATTATTCTCAGACCCTCTGACAACCTTATCTTTTCAAATATATGTATGGTGTCAGGAGTGCTTTCCAACTGAGATTGAAAGCTCTCTGGAGAGCAAAAACCCAAACACAGCTGGCACTGTAAGAGGTATAAGATGAAATCAGGTAGGGATGAAGCCAAGCAGGAGGCAGACCAAGATCTGCTCTTGACTTGTTGCAGAAAATGCTGCCAAGAAGATGAGGGGATGTAACTCCTCAAGCTCTTATCTTGCCACTTTCCTTTATTTTCAGCTCATCCTTCAAGACTAGATGTTCTAGCAGGGTTTTCCACAGTCCTACATGGGCATTAGGTGAGCAGCATAGCAGGTGTGAAAGGTTAAATTTGCCTAGGAAACAATTCTCAGAAACTTAGTCTCAGCAGAAGCAAAGAGCAAACACTTTCTGCCTCCTCTGCAGGTGGTAATTTCACTTAGGCTTGGGGAGAGAGAATCAATATTTATCTGCTCAGGAGGAGAGGCAAGCACTTGAGGCTGTGGCTGGAAGCTCTGCACTGCTGGATGACAGTGATGCTCACAGGGGCATTTTGGGGCCTGCCTGGCAGCATGGCAGCTTGCAGGTGCACACACCTGCACAGAAAATGCAGCTCTCTGCAACACCCAGAAGATTTCTGAGGTGAGAATCAGGGTTTCAAGGTACCATGACCTGAATAAAAGAGGCACTGGAGCACTGTGTGAAGATTTTTTTCTTCTCTTTACCTGTTTTAAAGTAGTTGTGATTCTGACCAGCCACCGCTGGTACCAGGTCCCTGTTGAGCTCTGGATTTCAATAAATTCATCTACTTGCTTTGGAGTTTTGATATAGGAAACCTGGAGAGAAAAAAAATAGGACTGAAGTTTCTAGAATTCATCCTGGGTGGATTTAAATTCCACTGTCTTCCAGGCAATCTTTCTACCTAATAACCCTTATTATTTTTTCTTTAAAAGTTAGCATTAGCAATTGAGCTAATTGATTTAATTACAGCAAGAGACTATTAACAGAAATGAACCTTCCTTCTTTTCATCCATCCTTTCATCCTCTCTTTCTCTCTCTTCTTCCATGAAATATTTTAAATACATCATGTCCACTTCAATCTTTCATTTGCTGGCTAATGTACCTGTATACTACCCTATTTCTCTATCTTCAGATTCCTACTACAAATTAGGACTCAGAAAGTATAGTAAAAATTATCTCCAAGATGAGTCACTTGTACCCAAACTGTGTCCTCAGGATTTCATGCTTCTAAGACAACTAGCAGGAATATCTCCCATTCAATATCTTTTAAATACCACTGGCATAACTTCTATGACAAATGAATGTGTAGATGGGAATCTTCTCAGCTGAAAATGCATCTTGCCATCAAGTGAGCCCACACAATGCAATCAGTTTGCTTCACCAAAAGAGTCTGAATTTTCACTGCTGAATACCTGGACTGCTCAGGAAAACTCACAAATGGATCCCAGTAAATATTTGCTTAGTAACTTTAATTAAAGGACATATTCAAGGAAAACAGAACTGTTTGTAAACACTTGGAAAAGGCCAAAATTTGCTGAATAAATTTCTGAGTGTGAACGAGCGCCTTGGCTCAGCTGTGGAGTCTCCGCATTCCTCCTCCTGGCACCGATTAAATGTCAGATCTGGGAACTGTCCCATACCAGCTGACTCATCACAAACTGACAACTTCTGGCCTATCAGAAGAGCACAAAACCTGCCAGTTTGTGCCACACCAGGAGCACTGATCACCGCCTGTGCCAGCGGGTGTGAGTACATCTCGGCTCAGCCGGAGCCGCGAGGTGCGATACCGAGCTCAGCTCCTCCACTGCAGTCATGACTCTGTTGCATGGAGTAACGAGCACTAACAGAGGCTGTACAGCTGCTCCTTCATTCTCCTACTCAGCTCAGACTCTCATAGTGCCCTACTTTGTGAGATATATAGATATATTTATATATATTTCTATTTGAGCTTCATTTCCCAGCTCAGCGTTACAGCAAAGCCAGTGACAGATTTAAAGAAAACGTCTCTCTCATCTTTGCTATCAGGGCTTGCATTACTCAAATGGCTGGTAGCCTAAAAATAACACATGCTCATTAAGATCCTACATGAACCTGCACGCAATTGTCATGCTCAGATATGAAACTTTAATTTCCTTGAAGGATCACTCCCGAGGGGCACAGTTTCCTGACAACCCTTCTGAACATGGAGCGTTTTTCTCCTTTTTTTCCATCCTTTAAAAGCATGTGCACTCTCATCTTTAAAAGTATAAATCAAGAGTTCTTCCCTGGCTGGCTCACCAGGATTTTACAACTGAATTATAGTAATTTGCAGCTAACCCCAGCATAAACCTTTCCTCTGATTTTACTATTAACAACTCGGCTGGTGTGACCTTTTTCACAACAAGCAGCAGACCGATGCGTAATAGCCACTCATCCCACTTTCCCTTGGAGAGATTAAAGACTGGATATGAGGCAGGTGGAGTTTGGAAAGCTCATTAGAAAGCACTTGAAGTTTAATCAGACTTTGATTAGAAGCCAGAATGGAGAAAGGACTGACTCAGGTACCCCACATGGCTAATATCTTATTTTGTTTTAGTCTCTTAGAGTAAGCCAATTAAGTATGTGCATAATTGAGAAATCACTGGTCTAAAGGATGTAGAGTAAGACCTGTAATATAGAGTATTCACTGCAATTGATAGACTTGACTAATTCTTGGAAAAAACCAGACTGGCATCTAAGTTTAAACACACAAAATATTTCTCACAGTCCTTTTTCTGGCTGCTTGGGGAAAGATTACGCTGAGAGAGTTCCAAGGAGGAGTAAAGTTGTGCTGTGCTGCACTAAGGGGGGTATGTCCAGCTTTTCTTAGCTGATGGCTTTGCTCAACTCACCGTAAACACCCTCTCTGGCTCGCCCTTGGCCCGCATGTTGGTGTCATGAACTTGCTTGAGTATCATCCAAGCCTCATCATGTTTACCAATCTGAAAACACCAAAGAGAAAGAAAGCAAGTGTTCAAGGTCCCAGCTCTGTAATTTATCAAAGCACAGAGAGAAAACAATTCTAGAGGTTCAGCATAGTAGAGAAGCACACAGGCTGGGCTGCATGAAATCTGAAGAGCTGAAAGCAAGGTTGGTATCCACAGAGTGCAGCATCTCTGTGCTGGAGAAAGGAATTGTCCTAAAACTGCCTGAGGCAGAAAAGGGGTCAGGGATAGAGCTTTAAAAAGAGATGAAAGGAGATGGATGGGGAGAACGGGACTCCCATCCCCACTCTGCTGAAGACTTGCAGGCTTGAACTATGTATTGCTACATTTTCCATCTGTGAAGTGGAGATACAGAATAATTGCTTAAGATTTCTGATGTTTAAGTATTCTACTCAGTGAAATGCACTTTGCTCTTTGCTCTACCACCAGGATTCAGTAGTTCCATGCCCAAACTCTGTGAGATGTTTTCAAAGTGCCTTTATTGGACATACAAAATTCCCATCACTCACTACCTTCCTCCTGTACCCCATCTGGCAGTGACACACAAATCATCACTGACTGACCCCACAGTCTGCAGTCTTTGGGCTTTAAGCAGTCTGTGGAGCTGGTGTAGACATGTAGGAGTGGCTTTGCCTCTGAGCTTGTGCTCGGTGTGTTTGATGGGACAAAGACAGTGACACTTTAGGGACCTGCCATCCTCTGCTGATATCAGACTGCAACGTTTGAGATGAATCATCTTACCTCCAGCAAAAACCGTGGGCTTTCAGGCATGAATTTCAGCGCCACCAGGGAGGCAATACAGGGCAGAGCACAGACGAGTACAAAAACTCTCCAGCTGTGGAAGTGGTACTTGGTTCCCATGCTGAACCCCCAGCCTGGAAACAACAAGAGCCAACAAGTAAAAATACTGACCAGGAATTCTGAGTTTTTCTCTGCTAATGCAGCTCTGAACTTTGCAGCTCTGTATGCCATGAGGACAGGTTGAAAGTTTGCTATTCTTAGTACTGGCAGTTCTTGGAGGCTCAATAGTGTGCTCAGCAGACAGCAGCAAGTTCATGTTCATTACAGAAATTGGAACATGCTCAGGCTCTGCCTTTTAAGAACCTTCTTTTATCTTTGAGTTTAGAAATCACCTAGTGATAGGGACAGCTCTGTGTTAGCTGTAGCAAGGCAGGAAAATGGTACAGGAATAAGGGCCATAACTGATTGTTTCTCAGTGATATTACTAAATTTTACAAAGGTTAAATCTCTGATCTGAGAGGCACATTAGAGACAGCTTCTTTCCATCTCCTACATCACATATGTATTTCACATTTCATGGAAGTGAGCAAGAAAAGCAAGTTTATTTTTTTCCAGACCTACAAAACCTGAGCTGGGGTTCAAGCTTAAAAAGATCAAAATCCTAGTCTTGCATTTGAGGTACCCCTTCTGCTTTTTTTCCTGGTGCTTGACCAAGTTAGGTATTCCCCTGCTAAGAACTGGAAAGTACAGCCTCATTCTCTTACATTGCTCCATTCACCTTCCCTAGGATCAAATCTCAAAAGGAGTGTTTAAATATTTTTTTTTGCTATAAAAGTTTTATTCACATAACAAGGAAATCATCAAGCAATGGGTTTTGCAGATGTCTCATCTGAGCCAGTCATGGTGTTCTAATGATTTCACAAAGTTCCAAAATAGTAGGTGGAACACTGGAAATCCAAAAGGAAGCTACAAAAACACAGCATCAAAAAGTCATCTCAAAAATAATTATGATGTAAATATCTAAGGGCTTTTAAAAGCAAATGTTGCAGGTAATACAATTTTTTCTACCTGACACCACTGCAATAAGTTTGTCTATTTCTTCCAACAGTCTCTGTCATATCAATCAAAAGCAGGAATATTTCTTTATACTGAATGTGCTTTCAATGTGCTAAAAATGAAATGATAGACAGGTAAACGTTAGTGGTTTCCTTTGTGGGTTTTGTGAACTGTCCTACTTTCCTCAAACAGGATTTTACAAACATCTGGTGTCACTGAGTACTGGGGGAATTAATCTTCTCCAGTAGATATTTGCTTCTGGTGTTTTCCCAGGTTATATATACAAGTTACAAGGAGTTCCATGTGACATGCAGACTCTGCTTCTCAGAGCACAAGTAAATTTCAGCTTACAGCCATCTGCTTTTTCATTCCCACTTCCAGCTGAGGGCAGGGAACCCATTCCACTCCTGCATCCATTTAGGTGAAGTCGGAAGTGACTTCAGCCCATCACACCTGGGCAGATGTGTCATCAGGTACACAGCCCTGCCAGTGTGGCCACTTTGCTAAGGGACAGCACATGTGCTGTCCTCACTGCTATCATTCACAGCATCCAGTGATTCCCTGATTAAAGTTGCTTCTTTTTGATATCAGGATCAATTTTTGGACTATAATCTCAGCCAATTTTTCCCTGAATGAGCTAACATTTAGATTAAGGCTCAGGCTCCAGCAGTGTAATTCAAGAGATGTATTTGAGGCTTTAGATGGAAAGCAGCCCCATCCAGTTCTATCTGCAGCCTTAGTATCCATCAGTCAATTGTGCAGTCAATTTATGAGACCTTCTGTGAGCACTTCAGGTGTCTGTTATTTTCAGTGATATTTATGCTGGGATGTGTAAGAACTGTCATTACCTGTGCAAGGGTTTGGGGTGGTGCAGTGGTGTAGGAATGTGGTGGTGTAGAAGGTCAAAAGCAGAAATTACCGTAATGTGGGATGATGCTCCAAGCCATTGCTGAGGCATAAATGCCACCAATCATCCAGAACATGCAAAGCCAGCTCAGGTGCTCCCCCCTCTTCTCACGAGACAGGAATTCAGAGAAATAGGCAAACACGATGGGGAGGGTGCCCCCAATACTGAGGAGAAAAAAAAGCACATGGAAAAAATGAGAGTCTTGTTCAATGTCTTTGTGGTTAGGATTGCATGTTTAATGAGGGAAGGTCACACTCACAGACGGGCTGCTCAGAAGTGAGGCTTGGAGGAAAAATGCAAATCTCTCTTTGGCTGGACTGGTCTTAGACATCAAAGATGAACAAGATCCTTCTCATGCTCTAAAAGCTGAATTTCCTGTACAGTTTGTACAAACCCAGAGTAACACCCTGCTCTTCAATTAAACATCTTTCGTTATTTCATTATCACTCATTTTAGGGAGGCAAAATACAGGCAGCCAATGGGAACTGCTGATGGTCTCATTGGAGGCCTTGGAGGTGGGCATTTTTCAGTTTTGCCCACACTTCTGCACAATTTGGGCAGTACCAGAAGAACATCAGTGACCAACCTTTCCCACCATTACAGTTCTAAGGGTCAAGAGTGAGGTAACAGACACACGTCCTAAATGGCAATGCCATCCCAGCTGGGTAGCAGGGATGCCTCTCCTGAGCAGCCTTCCCTGTTCCTGCCCACACACCCACCCTGTCCAGCTGTGCTGGGGCAGATTCTGCAGGTACCCACCCGAGGCCCGAGATAAGGCGGCAGAAGAGGAAGAATCCGTATCCCTGGACGAAGGAGGAGAGGAATGCAAAGGCAGCATTGATTGCAAGTGATATGATGAGGCATTGCTTTCTTCCCAGTTTATCAGCGAGGCCACCCAGCAAGACAGCCCCCACCATCATTCCTAAGTAGACTATCAAGCCTGGAAGGGAGAGAGACAGTCAGCTTGTTAACAGGGTGGAAATAGTACTCAGTGTAGAAGCAGATTTCAAGGTGCCCATGTGGCAGCTGATGTTGCCCTGTCATACTGTGCAATAAAGCAGAGATAAACCTAGCCACCCCAAATCTCAGATGCCAGAAACTCTGCCCATTGGCAGGACAGTAATTTCCCCATCTCGTGCCTGAGAGCTTGCATCACTTCAGGCAGTATGGACACACCCTCATTTGACCATACCCACATCTTTCCTTCCCAACCTCGCTGCTCACATATCCCCTGCACGTAAGCAATGGCCAGGCATAAGCAGCTTAGGATGCACGTGTCCCAGCTATGTGCCACCAACAATACAACAGAAATCTGATGTCTTAACTCCTCTGACCCCCCTGAGTGCATCGGGATAGAGGATGTGTAGGGAGAGGCTCTGTCAGGCTGCTGTTTCTGCTCAGAAAGCTGTGAGAGCAGAGAGACTGATGAGGCATGGCTAAATCTCTTTGCAGTGTTTCATCTCTTTCACTCTCTGCTTTTCCCAGCTGTATCTGAAAGGATCAGTCTGTTACCCAGACTCACCTCGTGTAGCTCAGCTACTTCCTTCGTTTCTGAGCCAAGATCTGGCGTCTAACTAAAGGACAGCTTACTCAAGAGTGCAGTCTTGATCTGAAAATTTGAGGAGAAGGGAGAATCTAAGGCTTGTCTGGACAGTTTCCTCTATAGAGTTATCTCTATAACACTGTTAAGAAAGATGGATTCTTCTTTTTAACCTGACTTCACTGGATCTACTATGGGGTCCTCAAAAGGCAGTCTCAATGACTCATTTAGTGCCAGGCTGAATAGGAGAGAATGGGTTTCCACCCTGGGCAGTCTCCCTGTCCCCTGCTCAGACTGTGCTTGCTACTCTCCTGGAGAACACAGCAGCTGCCCTTTGCTCTTCTACTGCCACTGCTGCAGAAGGGCTGCAGAATTTATTGTCTTTTGCTTTATGCAGGTACCAGTGTAAACAGCACTCGTTAATAATGCTCAAAAGTTCAGGAATATTCTTTTTCATTTATTTTATCTACTTTATGTAGTTCAGAGGAAATTGTTTGCAACCACACCTTTGCCTGGGGAGCACAGAGGTCCAAGAGGCTGCTCCCAAGAATACCTCCTGCATCATATCAAACTCCATTGACAGGATTGTAGCCTGTGTGCAATCCTACAGGACTGCACAGCTATGGGCTGTTCTGCTCCACAGTCCTGCTGTGGAGATCCTGGTGGGGCCTGACCACAGCTGGATGTGATCCAGATGAGCTGAGCTATTTCAGGATGGAGAACATCTGCTTGCCAGAAAGCAGAACTTGCAGTGCAGGGAGTTCTTGAAAGAAAAGGATGATGCTTGAGGATGTCTGGAGACTGGGGACATGTCAGGTTCAAGACCCAGCTGAGCAGGGGTTGAAGGAAGGCAGCAGTACTCCCTGCATCCCTGGCCCTGAGTGAAGGCATCAGATGCTGAGCAAGTAAATACACTGCCTTAACAGGAAACGTTCCTATTCACTGATTGAAGAAATACAGCTAAAAGAAACATTTCTTCAAGCATGATGGACTCTTTGGAGGTTCATTCCTCATCTTGAACCAAGATTGGCTTCTCTTGAGAGCCAGCATCTTCCCTAGGTCCTGTTCTGCCAAACACACTTGGAAAACAAGATGGGAATGAATGATTTTGTAATTCATTAATGTTTAAACAAAACAGTCTGGTGGCTGAGGGCAGTTCTGTGCCATCCAGCAAAGCCAGCTAAAGGCTAATGCAGAGTTATCTGGCAGCTGATCCTGTCTTCCTTCTCATTGCAAATGCTTGCACTTGATTTAAAATGCATTACTAAATTAAAAACTATACAGCAGAGTTCCATTGCAGCCTTTGAAGGACACTTGTGTCACACTGATCAGATGTGGAAAAGTTTGGATTTCTTAAATCTCCCCATTCCACAGTAGGGTCACCTCTCTGTGAGTGATTCTTTTCAATCCACAAGATGTCTGATGGGCAAGATTTGTGTGTCAAAGGCAAAAAAATCTGTTCTTGTCTATTAAAAGCCTTTGTACCAGAACTGTGGAGCAGGATTTGGCCAGTTGTGCCTCCACCATGAGCATGTGGCTCTGTGCAACCAATCCTTGCACTCCCTGCCCTGCCCTTCTGATCCAAGCTGTCCTGGTGAGGAGATCTGAAGGTGTGTAAAGGTTTCAGGTACTGATCTGAAGAGAAGATACAGACACACCTCAGAGTCTGGAATCTCTATTTCTATTAACCTTGACCTCCAGCTTGTCCACTGAATTGCAAATTACAAGGGTGAGCCAAAGTAAAAACAGTTTCAGTCCAAAAACTTCCTGAAGGAAGGATCTTAATGCAGTGCTGGAGGCTTAATGCTTTTACCCTGGCTCCTGAGCCACGTTTAATGGAGCAGCTCTGATGGCAGCCAGTGGAAGGAAGTGATGATGAGCCCTGTATCTACTCACTGGTGCATCACAGCCACCCATCTGGCAGCGAGCCCTGCCAGCACCACCAGTCCCTGAAGAGGAAGAAAAAATGATCTGCCAAATTTAATTTTTCCCCCTCTTTCTCCTATTTTTTTTTTTTTAATTTTTTTTTTTCTTCTTTTCCGGAGAAAATCCCTGGATGGCAGATGTTCATCCAAATCCTCTTAGAAAACATCCCAGGTCAGGAGGAGGTGGAGGAGATTGTCACTGTCTTCTGGTGTTTTACTGCAGTGACTGGTGAGGGGCAGCCTGCTCTCTGGCCAGGAGAAGAGTAGGATCAGTGTGGGATGTGGCATTGCTTGAAACTCGACATCAAGAAGTGGAGCTGCTTTTGTAAGCAAACCCCTGCAGATTCTGACTAAGGAGCACAAACTTGTGATGGAAGGGAGGACTGGATCTCTGCAACACAGCATCCATCAAACACTGAGCAGATACATCACAGCAGAGCTGTTAATGTCACAAATTCATCTAGAGGATGTTGCTTTAATTGGTTATTATATATGATAAATCAATTGATGCATGATCCCCCAGAAATTTAAAACAATAAAAAACTGTAGTAAAGAAGATATCAGGCACAACCAGAGACTGTCTACTTAGCCAGGTTTTGAGGGAAGGATCCTGGTTATGGAAATATGTGCTCCAGGGCTGAAACAAAATCAACAGAGCACTTCATTATCATGGAGAGGTCTTTTTTTGGTGAAGACTGCATGTTCTGTCCAATGTAATTAAAATTTTGGGGTAGCTGCTATAGAACACTGTCAGCTGATGGATCTCGGGACCCAGGGTGCAGAACAACGTCTGCTTTGCAGATTGCTGTGTCCTGGATTGACAACAAGGTGGCAGGGACCCAGGGAGGAGTGGAATAGTTACTCAAACAGCCTCCTTGCAGGGAGACAATCTTCCAGAGAGCACAGTGATGGATGCTACCTCTGAAAAAGATCCAGCTCATGTCAAGGAGACTAAAATTTTAAGGAGAGTTGGACCAAGAAAAGTGATCACAAAATGGTATTTCTTTTGCTGGGCTAGTTCTGTCCATCAAATATTCTGCAGTGCAGCGTTAAAATGGTCTGCACCAGAATCTTGACTTCAAAACTTGGCTTCAAACCACACAGACTTAGACTGTGTTAGGAGGGATCAGCTTCCCAATTGACACATAAGGTGCTCAGATGAAATGTTAGGGGCAACTCTGAATAAGCCATTATTTGCAGGCTATTCCACAAGTCCTGGAGTATAATGAATGCCTGTGGGAAAGTCTGCAACAGTCTCCCATAAAAGTGGTGGAAAACCAAAGAGCTGAAATTCAATGAATAAATTTTGGGTTATGACTCATCCATTGCTGAACTTATAAGGAAAATATGTGACCACTGTCTGGGATTATTCCCACTAGAAAAGGGGTTACATATTTAGCATTTTCACACTAAGAAATTTATTAGCCTTTACTGAAGTTGTGTGCTCAGTATTAGACAGGAATTTGAAGTTGAAAGCTGAAGTTCTAGGAATAAGGAAAGGAATATACTGCACATACAGTATATGACTCTCAGTGTGCTAAACTGTATTTTTACTACTTCAGTATAGTTAAAAGTAGACTTCTAAGGGTTTTAGAAAAGAATCAAAAACTTCAAAGTTTACCTAAGTCAGCATCACAAGCATGAATTTTTGTCATTGTTAGTTAATGGGATTAAAGTTCTTAAAAAGAGGCACATCTAAAAATAATCCCTCTTAAGACAGGACAAAGACTTGTGAAATAAATAGAAAATTTGAGCAGAATAAAACCCAAATAGCTCACTGAGAAGAATTAGTCCCAGAGTCCCTGGGGCTGTCAGGGAGGTGAGGAGGCTGCCTGGGCCCAGTAACCACAGGAATGGGAAAGCTCCTGCCTGCCTTCCAATCCCAGGCCACTACCAGTACAGCCTTAGGGTGAAAAAAAGAGGTTCTTGAAGAGGGAAAATATTTGGACAACAGAAAATGATTAGGACATTATGTATCTTGTAGTTCAAATTGTACTAAAAACAAAACTGAATACTGTTACTGGTGTAGAATCTGTTAGGGATGCACCTTATGGACACAAAACTTTGTGAGTCAGGACAATTTGAGAGATGGATGTGGCAAAGCAAAGGATCCAATTGTAAGTAACTGAAAGAGAGGAATTGAAAGTAGGGCTAGTGCTGACTCTCTTGTACCAGTGATGTCCCAGAACAGGGGACAGTCTTGACAGAGGATCAGGTGAAGTCTGGTGGCCTTTTTATTCCATTATTCTTGCAATTTTCAATCTGCTCTTCCTTGTAGAAGGAATTAATAAGGAATGTATTCCTTATTAATGCTTTCCCCAAGAATCAACCTGGCCTTTAAATGGAAGTCAAAGGAAAGGCTTGTCCCACCCCTCTGTAAAGCAACAATTTCAGTGGAGGAGGCCAAACAAATCCTTTTCTGTCCAACAAAAATCTCCCCAGGCTGGAATCCATCAGATGAAACTCCCACAGTGTTTACAGATGGGGACTCAGACATTCATCCCCATATCAGACCTACACAAAATGTGGGGTGTTCTCAAATCACAAAAACATCTTTTTTTTTTTTTTCCTACTGCTCAAGATGATGATGCTGCTTGGGCTGCATCTTGGGCTGAGCATTTCTAACTGAGAGCAAATTTGCAGCCAGGAATCCATGCCTGACATGGGCAGGTCTCACCAGGGTGTAGTGGCTGCTGTGTTGGGGGTCAGTGACCATGGAGGAGAAAAAGAGGCAGCAAAAACCCGTGGCAGAGCAAGGGAGCCATGGCTGGGCTTCGTGCTCAGCCAGAGGAAAAAAAAAGAAGTGGAGAAAAGCCATTGAGCTCTGCAGAGGGGATTAGGATTTACTGTCATATCAGGTGAATTCAGGTCAATGAGAAGCTGTGACCAGATTTTATCTCAGTTGATAATAAAACATCCTTTTCACACAAGTAAAAGCAGGCATGTTGTACACATCCTATTTAATCTGACTCACACAGCCAAGCTTGATTTGCTACATAAAAGAATAATTACTTATAGGATTTTTTTCTAGTTTCTTTTTATCCGGCATTGTGAGGTTAAGAGTCTGTAATATGATATTCTCCTTAAAAATATTATTATTAAATCATAAAAAGGAGAAGGGAGCCTGAAAAAGCAATTTTATTCTCAGCCTTGGTGTAGCTATTTTACAGTTATGGGCAAAGCCCTTAAAAATTTCCTTGTCTCAGTTTAGTGAACTGTGAAATGACAATAACACAACTGCAGCTCTGGGATCTGGGAGGGCTGATGCTTTAACTGTGCCTTGAGTTTTTGTATGCAGGATGTGAAAAAGTTTAAAACATAACTATGTCATTATCTTCTATATTTGTTGTGTACTTACTGCTCTGTGCTTGCAAACACAATATTTAGTCTTCTAAGAAGTGATTTATAGTGTGTAAAGATATATATTTATAAGATATTTCTCCAAATAATGTGTGCCTTTGAGCAAATACAAAAATACAAATTTTATTATTCTTTTGATTATCCTTAGCATATTAAAAGAAAATGTTTCTAATAGGCTGTATCATACTGAGAAGGAATATTCTGCTTCATTAAATTTAAGAACAGAATTATTATTTTGACTACTGCTGATGGAAGCTGAGCAAAGCTGATCTATCAAATGAATATGTAAAAATAATGTTGTTACATGTTACCAAACTTCTTAACAACTTGTATTATAAGTTGATTAAATCAAACTGCTAAAATATGTATACTGTTGTTTCTTTTTTTCTTTTTTTTTTTTTTTTTTTTTTTTTAATACTCCTGAAATCATCTTTAAATTAGCATTTCTCATAACTGAAAACCCCCAAATACGTGTTTAGTCCCACTTGGGATATTTAGGGCTAAAATAGTTGTTACTTTGCATCTGATGGTGAGATGTTTATTTTCAGAATGAAATGTAAACGTTTTCTAAGATGTGTCATATCCATTTCACACATTTCATGAAACACTGTGGGCATCTGTTTATTTGCAATTTTTGCATAATTTGGCCATAGTTTGCTTGATATTTTCCCATGACTGCTTTCCAAGGGAGAAAAAAATATGCAATATGCAGAGTGTTTAATGCAAAATATCCTTTTAACAGAAGCTGAACTTCACTAAATTAGTCTTTAGGAGGCATCTGCTTTATCTCTTATTTGTCCCTTCCTATTTCTGCTGGAGTTTGATTACTCACCTGACTTATTTCCCGGTTTTTTCCTCCTGGCCTCTCTTGTTATGGCTGAGACCTTGTATGTTTAAATGTTAGCAGCTGCCTGGAAGTGACCTTAACTGCTCCTGGGAAAACCTGGTTATGTTTCCTTAGCAAAAACGTGTGGAGATAATGGGTTCCTTGGGAATAAACATGAGCTTATCTCTAGATGTTTATCGGTAGATGGGGATAAGGCAAGGGGCAGTAGCTCATGTGTGGATAATATCCCTGCTTCCCTAAACCCATGTGATAACTTGAGGGAAAGCTGTTCCTGCTCTAATCACCCCCCTGTTCATCCTGTGCAGGCACACTCGTGCAGGACTGTCACTGCACATTAGAAATTGAGGTGAAGGCTCTTTGACTGCCACCAAATCATTCCCTAAGTGTAACTGAACCCTGATCAATGTCCACTCTCATAGCCCACTAAGACAATGGAGTCACAGAGGGACATGAGCTTGTCTTGGACACTGAGTTTTGTGGGGGACACCTTTATTCCTACCTGCAGGTGGATTTGGGGGAGTTGAAGCTATGCTAAGAAAGATTTTGCTGATTTTGTTCTTGTCTCCATCAATGGCACTTCCTCAGCCTTCCCCTTGAGAAGCTGATATCTGCTGTCCTTATGCCCCAGCTGCTCAGAAAAGAGATGAAACTTCTTGCAGGGGCAGTATTTGGGACAGAAGGCTGTGCTGGAGACAGGGCTGCACCCACACCTCATGTCCCTGCACTGCCCTGCTACCTGTCAAACCTCCAACACCTTCTTTTCCCTGCTGCTGCCACCCTTTATTTGGCAGAAAGGTCCCCTTCCCCTCTCCAGACCCAGAGATCTGCATTGCTCCCTTCCTGTGCCCTCCAGCAGCCCCCTACCCACCCCAGGCTCATCACACTCGATGCCTTGGGTACTCATTTCTCACATCAGAGCACTGCTGGGCAATGTAAGGCTTTCCAAGCCGTGCTTAATTCATTTTCACAAAAAGTCATCTCACAAACCTCAGATCCAGCAGCAGAGAAATGTCCAGCAGACAAGAAGGGGTGTTTAACAAATAAGATGGGCTGAATCAGAGACCTGTCCTGTGTACACCACCAGTCAATAACAACTGCATGCTACCATAACCACCCCCTCTCCTCCCTACTCCAAACTAAGATGGACCAGCTTTTATTGTTTTTAGAAAAATTCTTTTCTTTCCTCTCATAATGAAATCATGAAATAGTTTGAATACAAGCTTTGACAGCAGATCCCCCAAACAAGCAAGCTAAGGACAGGAGAAATTGTTCTGGAAGATCAGGTTCTCACAAGCTGTGTTTGAAAGTGGGCAGGAAAGGCAGCAAGAAGAGCTCTCTTCCCCTCATTAGCAGTCCCAGATTAGCTCAGTTAGTGCGCAGGAGGCTGGAGCTGGGATTGGATACGGACCCAAATGTCTCCTTGCTTATTCAGAGCTTATCAGCACAACCTGAACTTTCAGCCTTGCAAATACTGAGCTGGAAAACGCAGAATGTGCTCTCTGGGGAGATTTCATGTTCATTTTTACCTGTGGTTAGGCCAGAAATACTTCAAAGATAGGTTTCCTTGTGACATTTGAAGTTTTCTCATTTAGGAGCCTGCCAGAGCTTGAGCTATACAGAGATAGATATTTATGGGGTCAGAGTTTCTGAAAATCTCAGCTTTCACAGAGTCACTAAAATAAATGACCTGCTTTTCAAAAAAAGGTCTCATCACTGAAAAGACACCAAGCCTTGTGTCCCACAGGCTGGTGAATTCCAAAGTTCCTTTGAAATCAGGATCTAATTGTGAGAGGTTTGTCTTTAGATATCTGACCAGAGATATTTTGAGCTAGAATTTTTAAGGGGTTTGTGAAGCAAAAAATGTGACTAAATTCTTTAAGACACAAAAGTCAGGACAAACCTGGCTAACTATAGAAAGAAACATCCAGATCCTCAAGTTCAAGGAAAAAGGGAGAAAAAGAAAAGTGAATATGACCTCAGTACACCAAGAGGAGAGATTTATATAGGGATAATTATCTATTGCCTTTGTCACATGAAAATAATGTAAATAGAATGAAGTCAGTGGCTGGGGTCTAGTCCCAAATCTACATTTACCTTGCCTCAGGCAGGGCTTCTGGGCCAGCATGTATGACTGCAGTCCCTGATGATTCCCTGCAATCCCACTACATGTCCATCAAGACACTCTCTCCCTCCACAAGCAGTTATTCCTAGAGCTATTTTATTTTCCTTCCAGATGCTCTGTCCTATTGCATGGCTGGCTCTCACTACAGACCATGCTGGATCCTGTCCTGATTCTTGGAGATCTGGGAGGTTTTGCTGTTTTGGCTGATGGAATTTGGCTTGCCTATTGTTCCAGGGAAAAAATTGTTTGTCCAAACCTTTCCACCCAGTCTCACTCCCAATAACTAAGCCTTGTACGTTGTCCTCAGGGAGATGTCAGTAGTGATGCAAAAGGGATGTTGCCAGTAGTCTCAGCTTTAATCTGCATGCTGCACTTTAATTTCATTCCAGAGACAGAAAAAGAAACCTCCATTGACTACATCTGATCCAGGACATATGAGCAAACTGAGAAGTTAGCAGGCAGAAAGAACTGACTGCACAGTTGATTTGCCAGTTGGGACTTTGGGCTGAAGAAAAGGGAAACCTTCTAACAGCTTTGAATTTTGAGTCACTAGATCCACCTTTAACTTTTCATTTATTTATCCTTGAACACCCCTTGGAGTTTTGCCCTGGGGACCCGCAGACTGTGAGCTGCCTTGCCCAGATCCAGCCCATTGTGACCAGACTGGCCACAGCATATTCTGGTACAATTCTGCTGCTCATCAGCATGTGGACCCCTCCTGAGTCAGGCATGACTATGCATGACATACAACACAAGAAGAAAGTCATCAGAAGATCCTGAAATCAGCTGGTCACTGCAAAAAGTTGTCCCAGCTGCTTCTCACTGCATTAGAAGATCTGTTTGCCAGTGGCACTTACCCAGCATCCCTTTGTTGGAACTGGACAAGCACATATCCTTCTCAGCACTGGGAAGAACAAATCCAACCACAAACACCTCCACCCCATCTGCCATAAGTGCCAACCCTAAAACAAAGAAGAGAGTCCACTGGAAGCGTCCGTGGCCACACTCCTCAATGATGTTCTCGTACTGGTGGGCAAGCTGCTCCTCATCCTCCATCCTCTCGGCCATAAGGTCAGCACGGTCTCTGTACTCATCATCCATGGCAGGGGCTCGCTTCTTCTGCTTTTCTTTAATGTCATCTGGGTGTGGGATCCCTTGGTACTCGCCCTCATAGACCTCATCATCCTCATCGTGGCCTTCTGTAACATCACTCTGGGCATCCTCTTCCTGCGCGGGCTCGTCCCCGCCCCGGTAGTAGCCGTCATTGGGTGTGTCGTAGTTGCCATCCTGGTACCTGTAGTCATCTGAGACCTGGTTTGTGTTTCTATAGCCATCATCCATTCTGAACAGAGAATTCTAAATGCTGTAGGTCACTGTGTAGATATTCTGAAATGTGTATGGATTTGTGCAGTTTCTGGTGTTGGTTACTTGAACATATCTTCTCTCCGTTCTTTGGAACTGATGGGATGCACAGCTTCCCAGGCTCAGAGGGAGAATTATATATAAAGGTTCTCTCTGACAGAGTCTCACGCAGCTTTTGGTAATGCTTCACTTTTCAGCTGTCATTTGTGACTTGCTGGCTTCTGTGCTTTGGGTGAGAAAAGCTGCTGTCTGGGGAACAGAGAGGGAACAGCAAATTGCACAGCCAGGGAGCTAGGAGGATTTGACAGGTTTTTCCTGATTCATTGTGGTGCAGAAGGTCATGTCCTGAGAAAGAGGAAACAAAAGCAATGAGACAGCAGTAAGCTTGCAAGCACACATGCACTGAGTTTAATGCCCAACATTTTGAATGCATGCCTTTCCTTTGAAAAAATACGGCAACAGAGGAATGTTCTTGCATCACCAAAACCCAAAGCCTCAGAAAAAAACAGCATTAAAATGTACCAAGTTCAGCGGGAACCCAAAGTAGAATGTAAAGTACCATGTGGTCCCAATTTCTGTCTTTCCTGGAAGTCCTGCCTCCCATATGTGGTACTGCTTTCCACAGAGAGCAGAACTGGGCTGGGTTGCTGGAACAGAGCTCTCAGGTTGCTAAATAAGTTTTTATCCGTCTCCTCAGAGTACACTCAGGCCTGGTCCCCACAACTGGTGAGCATCATAATGAGACAAAATATGATCTTGGTTTTCTTTTTCATCCAGATCCCCACATTAATTTTATTTATTGGCTTCTTTTTTTCCCTATTGTCTCTCCATCTGTATGCCAGATGCACAGCTGGCATGCAGCATCTGCCAAGATGAAGTCACCAAAAGTGACACCAAGCACTGTTCTCTCCATATCTAAACATCAACAGGGGATGATTTTCAGAGAGAGTAAAAAAACAAAGCTAATACAGAATCACTGCTGTCTGCAGGGAAAACCAAGGGGAGTCAAGACACAGCTAAACACATACTCCTTCTGGACACCTGATTTCCATTATTTTCCAGGCAGGTTCCAGCCAGCTGGCTCTCCAGTGTTCCCCTGCCTCACACAGCTGTAGACACAGGGTTTGGAAGGAGAAGCACAGGGAAAGGGAGTGGAGTCACGCCAGAGCAGCCAGCACAGCGTAGGCATGCACATAACGTAGACTTTGCTTTAAGCTTTGAGCTACTTGCCTAAATAAAGTGTAAATGAGGTATGGATTGACATGGGCAGGCACAAGCCTGAGGATGTGTGGGTGTTGTTACCTACACAGTCAGTTGACCTATAGAAGCGCACGCAAACGCACACACTGTAAATAACAGTGCTATATGCAGCTAAAACTTCTTCAGAGGAGAAATTCAGTAGCACTCTGTATAATAAAATGCTCAGAGAGGCATCACTCCTGCTGCAAATGCTGTGCTTTTCTGGCAGCCCAAATGCTCAGGGTAAGGAAGGAGCAGAGACCTGACTTCTCTGCATGGATTAATGGCCATGCTTTGCCTGTTCATGGAGCTGCTCCAAGGAACTTCGTAAAAGCTTCCTCTGCACTTCTGCTTATCTACCTATATATCTGTGGCCCATAATTACAACACAGCCTCTGCAGAGCCTGCCAGAACCTCTTCCTTTTCTCTGCCCCTCTGCTATTTGTCACTACACTTCAAGGTGTTTCCTCTTCCCTTTCTTCATGCGGAATCACACCGTACATTTAGCATCAAGTGAAAAAGGCAACAGGGTATTCTTCCAGGGCTCAAAAAGAATGATCAATAAAGCAATAGAAAAAAAAATATTAAAATTCCAAAGGCATTCTTTTCAGGCTATAATGATCAGGCATCTCCAGTGCATGGAGCAGTATAGAGAAGTATTTGCATAGGCACCAGAGCTGTTAATGTGCAGGGGAGTTAATACATCTGACAGCCATAAGAAGCACTTAAGTGAGTCCTACAGCTCTTGTTTCAGTGCTGGAGTGTTACCTTTAATGGTTAAAAAAGTCCAATATTACTTTTGAGTCTCAGAGCCTCCCAGTCCTGAAGTAACTTTCTTAATTACACAAAGATTTGTGTCATGACTGAACATCATGTTCTCCAAGGCAGTAAAATGTCCTTCCACAGAGACATATTTTCTTTTGAAAAGTAGGAGAAGGAGCCTTTTATTTAAAGAGAAAAAACAAAAGAACAATATGTGCAAAAGAACATTAGGCCTTGCTTTGGAAATCTTTAAGAATCATCTGCAGCCAGGTCATGCTTCAAAGCGACCTAAGTGCTGGAGCAGGAAGCGCAGTGACCTCACTGTGTTTGTCCCTTTCTGGTTGCTGCAGAACTGAATTGAAAACTCATTTTAGGAAACAAAGTAACAATAACACTGATGATCAATAGCAGAACTGATCAGACCCTGGGTCTCCACAGACCTTACCTCTCTTTTCTAAAGGTAAAAGTATGCTCTTAAAGACCAAGTGCTGGAAATCTTTTTTGTTCTCTAAAAGCTGCTGAGGCTTAAAGCTGGGCTCTTTGCCTCCCACAACAACAGGACCAAAGATCACAAACTTAGAAAAGACCTATTGAAGCATCTGTGCTCTTTCACTGACACACAAAGACTGGCATTTACCAGACGGAATCACATCTTGGGCAGCCTAAGAAATAATGATATGAGCTGATGAGTCTTACAGACTGGTGAGAGTCACCTGTATGGGGAAGAACCTGTACTTCAGAGAAAAGGTTGTGGCAAAAAATAGTGACTGGGTTCCCATTCAGTTTGTAGGATGGATATTTCCTGGGATCACCCTAGGAGAAGGGGCAGCACAGAGAGGCAGACTATAACTTCAGAATGCTACACTTCCTGTATTTCACACCACTTGTTTTCTTTCGTTGCCACATATGCACAGGCTGATTCACTCCAGACCTGATTCTTTAACACCCTTTCACTCAAGCTGAGCTGCACTCACTCATTAACAGCCCCATTTAGCATTTAGATGCGAAACCATGATGTGTCATAAAGACGGCAGGCTTGGGTTGCTATAATTACCCTTCACAGTGATGCATGAGCACTTGAGACAAATATACACATCACACCGAGCCTATTGTAGCAGGGTGGGTGTCAGTCTCTTCTCCCAGATAACAAGCAACAGCACAACAGGAAACGGCCTCAAGTTGTGCCAGGGAAGTTTCAGACAGGAAATGAGGAAAATTGCACCATCAGAAGGGTTGTCAAGCATTGGAACAGTCTGCCCAGGGCCGTGGTGGAGTCATCACCCCTGCAGGTATTTAGAAGACCTGTAGCTGTGGCACTTGGGGACATGGTTTAGTGGTCCATGGGCCACTTGGCACTGCTGGGTCAATGGTTGGGCTTAATGGTCTTAGAGTTCTTTTCCAATCTAAATTATTCTAATTACAATCCTTGGCCCTTCTAAGCTGCCAGTTCCTTTCTGAGACACACAAGTGAGGTTTGAACACACAACAAATGTGAGGCTTCATAAGGCAGGGTCTGCAGGGGCAAGAAAGCCTCATTCTGGGTCTCCCCAAAACATCCCATTAAACTGAGTGTTGGACACAGGAACCTGGAATACATCAGGATTCGGTTCCTTTCCTGCTTTCTTTAAAATACATTATGCATCTTGGAGTTTTCTTGAGCTCATTAGTTAGCTCAGATGTTGCATACTTAGCCAGGAATTCAGTCATTTGAGCTCTGCAACTTAAAATAGGAACCTAAAGTCTTGGATATCTTGGATATCCTCATAATAGAAATGGTATCTACTCTAGGAAGAGGGATGTTTAAAAAAAGCAGATTAACACTGCATTTTCCTCTGTGAGAGGGCATACAGGTAAGTCTGGCATGGTGAGGTGATAAACTGGGAGCTGGAGAGCAGCAGAGCTTGGAGGGGATGCAGAGAAGGGCGAGTTCCTTTAGCCTGGTACTAAATGAAGAGAGCCCAGGGCTCATCAGAGAGCTGAGCTCTGTGACAGAACAGAAATCATGCCAAGTTAGTGAGCAGGGCAGATATGAGCAGGGTTTTCTTATAGAATATTGCAGCTTGGGGCATGAGGGAGTTTCTGGAAAAGCAAAGAGAGTGAGGATGTTGCTTGGTGGGAGCACAAGCCGTGGGTGCACACACATAAATGCATGATGCACATCCATGATGTGGATCCAGCAGGGAGAGCCAAGGCTGGCAGCTGCCAGGGCCTTGCTGCACGCTCAGAAGGGGAGAACACTCAAAACCAACAGCAGGAGGGAGAGGTTGTTTGGACCCTAAGGAGAAGGAGCAGGACAGGGACACCATAAAAATGCTTTCAAGGGATTTTTAGCATTCACCAGAATAATCCCTGTAAAACAGAGGGCAGAGCACTTTAATATTCTGCCTGAAGGACAACTCATCCTGCAGAACATCCTCACCTCCAGAGCTGCTTTCTGCTGACAGCAATGGGAAGGTGCCCAGATCCTACAGTGACCGTAAGGACAATTCTGCAGTCACAAAGCTGACTGTAAAAGAAATTCCTGAGGAGAAATTTTCCTCACTGAAAGGAGAAAGCTGATTATGTAGATAGGTTTCTGTGAAGTTCCAGCTTCAGATTCTTAATGAGGTTGCAATTAATGGATCTGTTTGTACACAGGAAGGGACAGATTTCTGAGGTGCCTAACAAATCACGGCTCCCAGGGGAGCAGCATCCTGGATTTCAGGCAGCCAGCAGTGACACCAACATCATCAAACAGGCTGAGCATCCTGGGCTCTGCTCCTTGGCTTCTTGACATCTCTGTGTCCCTCCAGACCCCACACCAGGGCAGCACAGCTTTCCTCTGGTGGGAATTGCAGATCCCTTTGCAGCTGTGGTTATACGGATACATGAATAGATGGCAACTTGTGTCCCCAAAAGCTTAAGCCTTAAATAAACCAGAATTTAGGGAAAAGAGGTCTCTATGCTCCCAGCTTCACAGCTGAGGACCAGGAAAAGTG